ACAACATGCGCCTTGTTTTGTTTCATAGGGTTTGGGGATTCTTAGGGCTAAGGAAGAGACTTCGGAGTGTTAACCTCTGCTGCTATGCAGTAGGACGTCATGCCCGCAGCACGTGCCCACATTTGTCCTTGAAATTAAGACTACCTTGAAAGATCGGTTTGTATAACAGTGCAGCCATCGCCAGCGGGAAAAGCGCATTTTGCGGTCCCCTCTAGCTAGCGCATTTCAGAAAACATCTATCTCCTAATGCTGCCAACTTGCTGTGCAGCAAAAAGCCTGCAACTACACCCGAGCTGTTCAGGGGTATCTGGGAAGATACCAACATCTAGGTCCCTTGTCCCCTGCATTAAAACCCTAAAACCCTAAAACCCTAAAACCCTAAAACCCTAAAACCCTAAAACCCTAAAACCCTAAAACCCTAAATATTTCTGGTGAGCATGAGAGCACTTTTCATAATGCGTATCTTACTTCTCCAATGACCAAGGGGAAAAAAGGTTAAACTTTCATATTCCTACTAAAAAAGGAAACCCAAAAAGTTTAAAGTTCAGCTAAAGGCGAAGTAAGGTATAGGGCGAGGGTCCGAGAGAATGTTGGTTTGCATCTGCGAAGCTGTTGTTGGTGCCCCACGAGCTCTCCGAGCCGGACCCTGAAACTCGCGGTTTAGGGTTTAGGGTTTAGGGTTTAGGGTTTAGGGTTTAGGGTTTAGGGTTTAGGGTTTAGGGTTTAGGGTTTAGCCCCAAAAAAAACCAACTCCTAGTTCCAGGTCTTCGGGTTTACTGGACTCAGGCATTTGTAGGGGGCTTACGAGTTTTTTGGGGCTGGTTGTTTGCTTGATCGCTTGGGGTTTGGGGGTTCATGGGAGAAGGGTGTCCGTACTGGGCAAACCCATCACGGTGCCGAGCTTGTGGGGTTTAGGATTTAGGGTTCAGGGTTTGATCTAAGGATCCATGTACCTATATTGTATATACTTATGCCTTAAAGAGGTTCCTATATAGCAGCTTTAGGGCCCAAGTATATAGGTACATGGATCCTGTGGGTTACTGCGCTGGAATGTCACAGCGTTGGAAGTCGCATTCGCAACTCTTTCCTTAGACCTGCTCTGGCTGCTCTGACTGCTGATTGCAACATTGTGGGGAAGTCTTTCCTTAGAGTTTGGGGCCCGACGGGGCGAAGGGCTAACGTCTTGGTTATGGAACTGAAACTTCTTCGTACTTGAGCCCTACACTAGGAATCCTGCGTCCTGGGCTCGGAGGCCCTCTTCAAGGCATGGCGGAAATTCAGTGTCCCAGACCCCATGAAAGGATGTCGAGATCACAGGGCCTCTAAACCCTAAACCCTAAACACTAAACCGAAACCCTGACATGTGGAGGAACCCTGAACATCTCCTCAGAGGGTCTTGGAAGTCAGTGTCGGATGCTTACGTCCAGACGCATGCTGGTACTCCGACCACGCCTTGGCGTCCTCGCGGAGGGGCGCTTTCGGCTTTGTTTCGTAGGAGCTTGGGGGCGGAAGCTGGAGCAAGGAGCTCATGAAACGGTTTACGGTTTTATGGTCTAGCAAGACTTCTTGGGTCGTTTTCTTTCTTTTCTTTTCTGTGATAATCTGCACTCACTAGAGTTGATGAGAACTATCAATTGAACGGAACCTACGAATATCATCATTACATATTTCAGATCAGAAGCTCATTCAAAAAGAAATAGAGAAAATCAAATTCGTGTTTTAGAGGACATTTCTGAAATCTCACGAAGAAATTGAATCGCCAGAAGAAACCTTAAGAACGGAGTTGCGCTGAAAGACCGAGAACATGGACAGATCTGGTCCACGTAAAACAGGGTCAGGTGGTGGTCAGTGCAGCTCTTTGCCACAGCATGACTTTGAGAAGTGTCCATCCACAGATCGGATGAAACCAGGGCTAAGCCAAGGTTGATGGCGCGACAGCCGAGGCGACTAACACCGACCCTAAACCCAGGTCAGCAGCATAGACACTAGCGATGTTTTGGAGAAGAGCAACCCCAGCACCAAGAAGATGGGCTCCTGGATACCTGCAACGCGACTCATGATCTTCATGCTGCATTTGTAACTATGCTCGAAAGTGTTTGTGACACCCCGTGTTTCTGATCCATGCCAGTAGCTTTCTAAACATAAAGCACATAAACCTGAATCTAAAAGCGGCAAACTTCGGCTACACACCCGCCAGTAGCCCCTCAAACCATCACCCAACCTTCGACCCCAAAATACCGAGAGGCAGCTTCGGCCAATGGGCGAAGCAAACGGCTTGGCCCTCATGCATGTGCACCGTGGCACCCTCTTCAGATGGGGCGCCGCAAGTGCAACATGCACTCAGGTTGGTCCTGCAATGCCAAGGCTCCAGGGGTTCAATATGCTCCAAACAGTGCGCCGACTTTAGGGATTCTTACGTTAAATGAGAGTTCGATTGACTGAGTTGTGCGTGAGACGCCCGCGAAACGCCTGCGATACGCGGACGGCGTTCCTCGAGCGGCGGTCGCAATTTGGACGAAAATCGTACTGTTTCCAAAGCGGGGGCTTGGGCACGATTTCGCGAGGCCTTGAAACGTCGCTTATGTTGCGTGCTTTGGCCTCGTGCATGGTGTCGAATCATGTGGAAAACCACGAAGCCAACTAATGCCAGCGGAGCCCGGGCCGGTGAGGCAATATTTGTCGCGATCCGCGCGGGGGTACTGGGCGCGTAGTAAATGCACGAAAAAATGGTGGCGATGCGTGGGCTCATAGCTGGTCCGGCAGAAGACGGCGAAGCTACCTTTGCAACAGGCTTGCCTCGTTGCTCAAGGGGTCAACGCGGAGCACCTGTGCATAGTTGGAAACAGCGCAGGCCGAGACGCGGTCGGATACCCCTGCAGATCCCATGGCCTTCTGAAGGCAGTCGAATCGCTAGTCGAATCGGACAGAGAGACAGAGAGACAGAGAGACAGAGAGACAGAGAGACAGAGCTCGCCCTTGTGCCACGCTGGTTTCGGGATAAGCACAGGCAACATGTCTATGGCCGGCCCAATCCACTGTCAAGAGGCAAGGGTTTAGCACAACGCCCGTATCCCAAGCCCCAGAACGTAGACCCTGACTCCTTGCTCCCATACTGCAACCCGCGTCTTGCTCCCAAGCCACGCCGGCTCTGGCTGCGGCGCTGTCACACCGCGCCGCCGGCGCAACAGCGCCGTCGCCAGCGCCATCCCAGCGACGTTAAAGGCAGCCGCAAGGCCCTCTAGCATGGAGCGCAGGATCCGTCGCTGGATCATGCCGCGGCGGTTCGGGCATTTGCCCCGCCAGCCCCAGCAGTCGGATGGTGAGCACGTCACACAAGCGAACCAAGCGAACCAGGTCAAAAGCCAAAGACACGACACAAGTTACCCATGGAATCGCTCAGTGTTACGACGTTTGTTGAATCCTTTAAGGGCCGGGAACCGAAACCTGTCTAGTTCAATGACCCGCAAGAAAGCTGCGCAACTTCAACGCGGCTCAACAGCACAATGTAGAATATTGAGATTCAGGCGGAGGGTCGTTTTTTCTTGTGCCTCAAACCCCAACGCGCCAGCTGACCCCACTCTCTGCCCTCCCTTTTGTTTCAGAAAAGTGTGGCCTCCCTCCCTTTTTTCTCTTTCCCTGTTTCCTCCACTCTCTAATTTCTTCTTTGCCACAAAGCAAAGGGGCGGCGATCATGACGAACAACGGAAAGTAACCTCGTTACCTTCTTCTTCGTGTTTTCCTCTTCCAAGTTCTTCCTTGTCTTTCTTGTCTTGGAAAAGAGTGGAGAAGTGGAACATCTCCTTTTCTTTACTCTGGCTCGTTCAAAACAAAAGGGAACAGGGAGATAGAATGGAATGAGGCAAGTTTCGAAAAGGATGTCTTTCATCGTTTTTCCTGCGCTTGCCTTTATCTTGTCCTGCTAGGAAACGAAAATCGTGAAACACCTGCATCCGGGCTTTCCGCATTATCCTCATATTTCTCGTTTTCGTTTCAGAGAGGAATGCAAAGGTGGGCCGTGCATGCCCTCTCTGTTTCCACATGTGTTTTTTCTCCATCAAGAAAACCCAACCCCTCCAGCCCACCCGATCGACCCGATTAACCCACCCTCTCCAGCTGAAAGCACAGAATGCCGGGGATGTCTTCTGTGACCGACCAAAACCAGGATCCGATTCAGCGCGCAACTACTCCGAGACGCATTGTTTATTTAAGATCGTTATAACACCAAGCAAAAATCTGATTAACTGGTACTAAGAATTACTTCAAATACTGGCTAAGACCAGATGTAACTCATAAGCTCGATTCAGACTAATGAAAAGCAATTAAAACCAACAAACTTAGATAGCGGAAAATGAAATAACATTCCGGAAATGAATGAAAACGGGCAAAAACACACTCAGACTTGAAGTAAATCGTTTAGAAATCACTAGAATAAGGGGGCTTTTAAGGAAACCTCAAGGGAATAAGGGTGTACTCTGGGTCTTAGCTACCCCTGGGGATTGAGGGCGTAGAAGGGTTTGCTTGGGTTTAGGGCTCAATTTACGGCTTCGGGTCTTGGGGTTTAGTTTCTTAGGGTTTAGGGTACAAACTCTCAACCCGGCCCGAACCCCTGAACTCAATCGCAAACCCTATAGACCCCAAGGAGCAATACTCAAACCCTAATCCCTACAAGGAACAATGCTCAGACCCTACAAGCGGCTTAAGAGTCATACTCCTGAACACAATCCTGGGGGACTGAATGTACCCGAAAAATGGGGTCATAAAACCTAGACTACATAAATTCTACTAAGGAATATGGACCATAAACCTTTTATGGCTAAACCCTAAACCCTAAACCCTAAACCCTAAACCCTAAACCCTAAACCCTAAACCCTAAACCCTAAACCCTAAACCCTCAACTCTGCACTCTAAACCCTTCTAGGGTTCGTTTCGGCCTAAAGGATTAGGGAGTTGTGCGGAACTTTCAACACCCCCCACCCCGCGCCGTGAATCTTTGGCGGGTCTCATCCCACGGTCTGCCTCCGCCTTGGATTCAGGGTTTAGGAGAAGAGTTTGGGATTTAGGGTTTAGGGTTTAGGGTTTAGGAGAAGAGTTTGGGATTTAGGGTTTAGGGTTTAGGTACCCAAACACTTCTAAACTAGGGTTGAGGGTTCAACCCCCCCCCCCCCCAATCCCTCCCAAGGGGGGTTTCTTTGTTAGTACAGTCATTCATTGGGTCTTTGGCCCTGGAATGTCAAGCTGTTTTCTCTGGAGAGACCTCAGAGGAAGCCTTCCACGCTGCGCTCTGTAGTGGGCTGCAAGGGCAGAGGCTTTCCAGAACGCCTTTGCTCGAAGCCCCTCAACTGCATGGAGAAGCTCAACGCCAATTCACAAAAATTGCCCAGCACCCCTCCACTATTTGCTTAAGAAACCCGGAAAAAAAAACATTCTTCCTTATTGAGGGTAATGTAGAGATTATTGTTTTTCTTTTGGGGTTCGTAAGCAAATAGCAGCCCTCTGTGTGTGTCGGGGGGGAGGGGGGGGGGGGCAGGTGGGGACCCCCAACAAGGGGCCCAAGGGCAGCTCAGACAAAGTAACCAAGCCAAGCGGTTGGAGGTTTTTGAGAAGAACTACGGCAAAGGTGGTCTGCAGCAAACTTGGCCTGTAGAGTATACCCTCACCTCTCTGCGCGGCCGGCTCTTTTCGAACAGGCACTCCCATGCTGTAACCCCCCGCCCAACTGCCTGCCCACCATCAAGCCCCAACCAACCCTTATTTCAGCCTTAACTTAGTTAGGCGTTGCTTTGGGTAGGCTAGATATGGCAAGAAGATGGTTTAAGGTTCTGTTGCTTTGGGGCACCATGAGGCTTCCTACCCACACGATTGATTGTAGGATGACCCAGAAAAATATCCCTAAACCACAAAAGGGTCCAGGGTTTAGGGTTTCCCCAAAAGCAGTGCAGGTGTGAAACATCTCGAGGTCCCGCAATGATCCTTCAACACAACACCCTACACCCTAAACCCTGAACCCTGAACCCTGAACCCTAAACCCTAAACCCTAAACCCTGAACTGTAGGTCCCTAACTCGACGGCGGTCATTATTCAATTTGCGTCGCCGCGCTCTTCTTCTGTGGGACAGATCGTGGTCGGCTCTCAGAAAACTCCAGGCTTTCAAGGCTGGGGGTTTCAGGATTTAGGATTTAGAACTTAGGGTTTTGGGTTCAGGACCCTAAGCCACCGAAGGTGTAGAAAGTGCGGCTTTGGGCAATACTACCCCAAGGCTGCTAGAAACGAAATGCCGGCTTTGATACGGTTCAGGGCCAACTAATCGAGCCAACCCCAATCTGGGCCTCTGCTCTCTTGCATATTGAGCTCAACTATTTGGTCTTTATAACATGAAATTTAGGGTTTAAGGTTTAGGGTTTAGGGTTTAGGGTTTAGGGTTTAGGGTAAAAATCTGGCTCGATCCCGAGTTTTGAAGCTTCGGGCTGGGGGAAACTTCGCCCTGAACCCATCTCGTGCCAAAGCCGCTGGAATGCGAACCGTGGCCAGGGGTCTTCCGCAGTGTCCTGTTGTGAGGCCGGTGTCGGCACTAGCAACCCTAAACCCTAGCCTAAGCCCCACACCCTGTACTAGTATGTGGAAGACGTCCTGTTGCCTTGGCCCTCAGCCCTGAACCCTAAACCCTACTGCCACCTACACCCCATAAGCCCCAGCATAGATCTGGTCGTTCTGGTGACACGCCCCTCGGATTGAAGGGCTTCGGGCCTGCTTTATTTAGGGTCCTACCGAAGCTGCATAGCTCTGCGGTACCTCCCGTTCTCCGGCCTAAAACCTCTAAACCCCGACCCCCTGAAGCTTAGGCTCCTGGTACTTCGACAGGCGGTGGAGGACGGAGCACTTGCTCCACTCCGACTCCGACTCCTGGGGTGTAAGGCCTTTTTAGGGCCTTCTTGGGGCTTTTTCAGGGCCTTGTTTAAGGCATTTTTAAGGTTTTGATTCGCGGGGTCAGGGTATTGCGTAGAGACGGGACTCATTTAGGGTATAGATGATTAGGGATCGTGGGGCAGGTCGTGCTGTTCAGTAGCCGAACAACCCTAGCCCTTAAAGTCAACAACCAAGAATTATGAGGTTTCGTTTAGGATTTGGAGTTTCTAAAGTTTAGGAGTTGAAACGGTTGAACTTAATCTGTTGCTACAAACAGCGAGAGCCGCAAACTATAAATTTCAACACCATTGGCGAAGTAAGCTGGATAAATAAGCTGGATAAAAGCCATGCCGGCTGCTGCCTGTGAACAAAAGAGTTGCTAAGAGAATCTACCTTGGCGGTACAAGTAGCCCTAAACCCTAAACCCTAAACCCTAAACCCTAAACCCTAATAAACCCTAAACCCTAAACCCTAAACCCTAAACCCTAAACCCTAAACCCTAAACCCTAAACCCTAAACCCTAAACCCTAAACCCTTAGAATACGCGTCTCAAGAGCCTACTCAGTAGTAGGAAAGGTATTCACCGGGACCTTGGCTCTTCTTTTGCCATCTCATAACATGCCCCAAGGTCATGTCCGTTGGGTTTAGGGTTTAGGGTTTAGGGTTTAGGGTTTAGGGTTTAGGGTTCAGGGTTCAGGGTTTAGGATTTAGGATTTAGGGTACAGGGTTTTGGAGTTTAGGGCTTAGAGTCATATAGTGTCTAATTGGGTCTTGAAGGGTACCCAAGAGATGCGCGGCTTCCAGGAAAACCAACCCGAACCTTGAAACAGCTTCCCTGCCCAGACCCTTCACCACCCGCCAACCCCAAACCCCAAACCCCAAACCCCAAACCCCAAACCCTAAACCCCAAAACCCTATAGACCACTAAACCAGACAAGCGTCCGTCTTGCACATGGGGGCGAGTGCTGCCGAGTGCTGCGCCGTCGGCCCGAAGGAGGCGTAGAAGGCCTGGACCGGGACTAGGCGGGTCCATAGATACTATGTATTTACTACATATACTATAAATACTATATATATATATATATATATATATATATATATATATTGCTACATGTATTTTATATATAGTATACTCTACATAATATATATATATATATAATTAGATATATTCTCGGGATTATACATGCACATGGGTATAGTATCTTTAAGAGTTCTTTGTCGGCTTAGGGTTAAGGGTTTAGGCTATGGAACCTGGGAACTCTTAAAGATACTATATAGCGTATGTACATTATATGCACAGAGAGAGAGAGAGTAGGTGAACATGTACTACATGTACAAAATATACATATATATATATATATATCATATACTCTACATATTATGTATGCATCTATATATATATATATATATATACATACTCGTTAGTATATATGTACATCTACAGAGACAGAGAGAGAGAGAGAGAGAGAGTGTGAGGGAGAGAGGCAGAGAGAGAGAGAGAGAGAGAGAGAGAGAGAGAGCGAGAGAGAGTAGGTGAAGGATGTGGATGCAGCGGAAGAGTCCATGGCATATATATGTACATCTACAGAGACATGGAAGGCTGCAGCACGGTCGCCCTGCCTCGAGAGGACCAGTCTCCTGCAGTGGTAGGGGTTCAGGGTGAAGGGTTTAGGGTTTGGCGTTTGGGCTGGGGTTTGGGGTTTAGGGTTTAGAGTTTAGGGCCAGGGTTTGGGGTTTGGGGTTTGGGGTTTGGGGTTTGGGGTTTGGGGTTGGGGTTTGGGGTTTGGGGTTTGGGGTTTGGGGTTTGGGGTTTGGGGTTTGGGGTTTGGGGTTTGGGGTTTGGGGTTTGGGGTTTGGGGTTTGGGGTTTAGGGTTTAGGGTTTAGGGCTTTCGAAACTCCTGCGCCTGTGGGGAACCAGAACCCTGGAGCCTCCACCAATTCTGGGGAGCATGGGGTTCCAGGCTGGACGACACGCCCCGGTGTGAACACCCCAATCCCGAAACCCGAAACCCTAAAACCCGAAACCCTAAACCCGAACCCCGAAACCCTAAACCCTAAACACACAACCCCTACACCCTGAACTCTCAATCCTGAAGCCCTGTCTTCTTCGGCTTCGGGCTTCAGGGTCTCGGGTCCTGCGCGAGGGCAAAGTACTTGAAGTACCATTCCGTGAACTCCGTGAAGTCCACGTAGCCATTCCTGAATTTAGGTTAGGAACTTTCTTTCATCCGAATGCCGAAAGCCCTAAGGATCCATCCTATATGGTATATACGTCTTAAAGGGGCTCCTATATCTCAGCTGTAGGCCAAAGTATATACTACATATGTACATTGGTCCTTAGCCAAGCCCACCACCCCAAAAACTACCACCCCCCCATCAAACCTAAACGCCCAGAACGCTAAAACCCGGCGGCACCGATACGACCGGAAGCATGGAAGCTTCGTATGTATGTCGGATCCTCTTGCAAGTGGTCATCTAAAACATGCGATTCGAATGAGTTTGTGTGTCTCGAAAGGAATAGGTTCGGGTGGCTTGCCGCTGTCGATAGCGTGGGGCGCTCATAAAAACAGGGGCCAATCGATGCACCCGATGACCTCTTCGAACAAGACCCAAAGCCCAGCTCTGCTCAAGATCCCCCCTCCTTTCAACACTATCATGTTTGTGGGCCCCTTCCGAAAGGCACATGTTTCCAAAACTTCTACTGTAAACCCTAAGCCCTAAACCCTAAACCCCAAACCCTAAACCCCAAAACCCTAAACCCCAAAACCCTCAACCCCAAAACCCTCAACCCCAAAACCCTAAGCCCCAAAACCCTAAACCCCGGAAACTCGGGAAGCTCAAAGGCCAGTCGAGGTGCCTGTCTTTGTCCAATTCGCACCAGAAGCGCTGGATTCGGTTCTGTGGCAAGTCCTGGAGTAGGCTTACAAGGGCTCACGGTCAGGGGTTTAAGGGTTTAGCGCCCTAAACCCTAAACCCTAAACCCTAAACCCTAAACCCTAAACCCTAAACCCCAAACCCCAAACCGGTGCTGAGTTTGCTTGTTTCTGGGGTGGGAGTCACTGGGCTAGCTGCATCGTGAGTTTTGGGTCTTTGAGTCCTGAAGCGGCCCAACACCTCTTGACCCCTAAACCCTAAACTCCCCTAAGCCCTAGCCTTCAACGCCTGTTACCCCCTTTCGCCCCTTCTACCCCCAAACCCTAAACGCTCAACCCTAAACCTTAAACCCAAACCCTTAAGTCCCTGAACTCGAACTGGCCCAAGGCGCCGATCTCTCTGAAACGTGGAGCAGCTTCAACATCCTGGGCGGGGTACAAACCATTCTGCAAGTCCCTTCGACATGGGAGGGGCTTAGGGTTTAAGGTTTAGGGTTTAGGGTTCGGGGTTGTTGGATGTTAAGAATTTCGGGCTTAGGGTCTTAAGGTTTGGGACTTTGAGGTTTGGTGTCTTCAGGTGTTTAGGACTTTAGGGTTGAGGGTCTTAACATCTAGGGCTGCAGGGCTTCAGGGCTTTGGGGGTCCTAAACCCGCAATGGCGGGTTGTGGAGGTCGGGATTCAGGATCCAGGGTTTAGGTTTAAGGTTCAGGGTTAAGGGTTCGGAGTTCCTCACTTCAGGAATTCGGAGACCTCCCATCCCCGAAAGTGAAGCCCTGCCAACGTACGGTTTAGGGTTTAGGGTTTAGGGTTTAGGGTTTAGGGTTTAGGGTTTAGGGTTTAGGGTTTAGGGTTTAGGGTTTAGGGTTTAGGGAGGCTTCAGGGCTGAGGAAGGGATGGCTTCAGCCCTCGACCATCTCCAACCCCCCTAAAAACAACCTAATCCCTCCGAGCCAGTGAAGAAGTGAACGCCCTAAACCCTAAGCCCTGAAGGCCTTAAACCTTAAACCCTAAACCCTAAACCCTAAACCCCCCTAATCCCCCCCGAAAAACGCTAAACCCTAAACCCTAAACCCCCCCCCCCCCCTGAACCCCCCCCAAAAAACCCTAAATCCCACAGTGGCTCATCTTCTCGAACTCGCTGTAGTCAATCTGGCCCGACCGGTCCAAGTCGTAGCCTCGATCTTGAGAGGGTGCTCTTTTGGGGGCTTTCAGGCTCTTGGGGCTCTTCAGGGTTTAGGGTTTAGGGTTTAGGGTTTAGGGTTTAGGGTTTAGGGTTTAGGGATAGGGTTTATGGGGCTTAGGGGACAAGGGAGTTGTGGTTTCAGGGTTCCGGGTTGCGACATGTTGTGGATTCAGCGTTTGAGGCCTGGAGGACTTCAGGGGTCCAAGATTCTGTTAGGGTTTAGGGTTTAGGGTTTCGGGTTTAGGGTTTAGGGTTAGGGTTTCGGGTTTCGGGTTTCGGGTTAGGGTTTAGGGTTTCGGGTTTCGGGTTTAGTTAGGGTTACGGGTTCCTTACGGTTCTAGGGCTTTATGACCTTAAACCCTTACAACCTGAAGCCCTAGGGTTTGGGGCAGGTTCAGGGGGTTAGAGCTTTAGGGTGGAGGGGGGTCCAAGAGTGACAAAAAGCTGGAGGGTTTAGGGTCTAGGGTCCAGGGATGAGGGCCGTTTAGGTTTTAGTGTTTAGGGTCCCCAACCGCCTTTAAAGGGTTCTGACGCATGGGCCCTTATTTTGTATAGCGTATATAGGGGGTATGTAAGAGGTACCCTTGTAAGGGCTCATACTACGGGACCATGAAACTGCCCTCAGAACCGTAAACCCTAAACCCTAAACCGGGGGGGTGGGGGGAGGGGGGGAGGTATAGAAGTATGTCCAGTCAAGGCGCAGTCAAACTGATGCTTGACCTTGTCCATGTCAATGCCTTTCTGAGGGAAACTCGAAAGGTAAACCCTATAACGCCTGTAAACCCTATAAACCCTGTAAACCCTATAAACCCTGTAAACCCTATAAACACTATAAACCCCATGAACCCTACAAACCCAATAAACCCAATAAACCCAATAAACTTTATAAAACAATAGAAACCCTATGAATCCGACAAACGCTGCAAACCCCATAGACCCTACAATAACCCCACAAACCCTCTAAACCTTGCAAACCCGATATGATGACCCTGCAAGCCCTTTGAGCCCTATAATAACCCTACCATGACACTTTTCAGCAGAACCGGCTGGGTAGGGAAGGAGCCATACCGCACCGAACCGAACCTTTCCCTCCCCCACCCCTACACCCCCAACTCCCACACCCCTAAACATCTGCGCGCCTGGGCCCCCTACACCCCTAGCCCGCGACACCCCCAGACCCCCACTTAGCGACTTCCGACCTCGACCGCACCCATCTACCACCATGGGCCCCTATAGCCCCCCTACACCCCTACCCCCCCCACACCCCCCTACCCCCCTTGCACAAACCCTGTAAACTCGAAAACCCTTTTCATAGCACTACAAACCCTAAACCCTACACTTTGAAGCGTCGGTGCAACAGCAGTGATGCTTCTTCGCCAGCTCCAGGGTCAGGTCGTCGGCCCTCCTGAGGCTTGAAAGGCTTCAAGGGATGCGCTCCGCCTTTTGGGCCTAAACTGCAAAAAGCCTATAAACCCTATTAACTTTATAAACCCTGTAAACCCTTTAAACCCTATGAACCCTACAACCCTATAAACCCAAGACCCTAAGCACCCCAAACCCGAAACACTAAACCCTAAAACTGTTGCAACCCTGCAAAACAAAAAGACCGCAATTGGGGGCTCCCTAAACCCTAAACCCTAAACCCTAAACCCTAAACCCTAAACCCTAAAACCTAAAACCTAAACCCTCAACTCGATGTCGGCTCGGTGGCTTCTGTGTGTCCCCGGCGAAGGTCGGCTTGTGTGCGAGGCAGAAGATGTGATCGCGGTACCTTATAGTTTGCAGTTGTTTAGGGCTGAGGGCTTGATCAGAAGGTTCTTGTTTAGGGTTTAGGGCTAGGGTTTAGGGTTTAGGGTTTAGGGTTTAGGGTTTAGGGTTTAGGGTTTAGGGTTTAGGGTTTAGGGTTTAGGGTTTAGGGTTTAGGGTTTAGGGTTTAGGGTTTAGGGGTTTAGGGGTTTAGGGGTTTAGGGGTTAGGGTTTAGGGTTTAGGGCTTCGTGTTTCAAGCATTGGGGATTCAGGCAGACGCTACGATCATGGCGCCTCAGCCCTCCAAAGCAACTCCTAAGCAGAGTCATCTTCCGCCCAGAAAAGGGACCACATGCAAGATCCCGAGGGCCCTGAACCCTAAACCCAAAGGGTTTAGGGTTTAGGGTTTAGGGTTTAGGGTTTAGGGAACCCTGAACCCTAAACTGTTTAAATTTAGGGCTCAGGATTGAGGTTTCGTCCGAAAGCGGAAGGGCCAGAGTTGAGGTTCCAAGGATTGTGCAAATCCTACCACAACTCAAGCGTCCTTTTCAAACCTTAAACCCTAAACCCTAAACCATCAACCCCAACCCCCAAGTCGTATATCCAAAACCCTAAACTCTAAACCCTACAACCCCAAAACCCTACAGAAAAGGGTTCAGAAAAAAAGGTCCATCTGCGGCTCAGGGGTTTGGGTCACGTGCGGGCGAGCCGCCAAGAAAGGAACTGCGCTTTGTCGATCGGCCCCTCCTCGGCGTGTTACAGGCTCTTACCCCTATAACCCTAGAATCCTATCTTGGCTGCTCTTAGCAGGGTAGCTATAAATTTAATTTTTAGCTGCTTTCTTAAGAAACCCAATAAACCCAAAAAGGTTAAAGATGTAAAGTTACAGTAAAGCACCACACAGCTATAACCCTAAACCCGAGAACCCTGTAACCCTAAACAGTAACCCTGTAGCCCTAAACCCTAGAACCCGATAACCCTAAACCCGATTACCCTAAAACCCTACACCCTGAACCCCAAACCCTAAACCCTATAACCCTAAACCCTATAACCCTAAACCCATAAACTCTAAACCCTAAACCCCTAACCCCTAACCCCGAAACCCCGCCGAAACCCCGAAACCCCGAAACCCCGAAACCCCTAAACCCCTAAACCCCTAAACCCCTAAACCCCTAAACCCCTAAACCCCTAAACCCCTAAACCCCTAAACCCCCAAACCCTAAACCCTAAACCCTAAACCCTAAACCCTAAACTCTAAACCCCTAAACCCCTAAACCCCTAAACCCCTAAACGCTAAACCCTACAACCCTACAACCCTAAACCCTAAACCGGCCGAAGAACATCGAACCCGCAGTCCAAGGCACGGCTGCCCGGCAGCGCAAGTAAGCATCCTGCCAGTAGGGTTTAGGGTTTAGGGTTCAGGGTTTAGAGATTACGGTTTTAGGGTTTAAGAGCTGATATTAGGGTTTCGGGATTAGGTTTAGCGAATTAGGGTGACGGATGTAGGTTTTTTGCAAGATTGGGGTTCTTTAGGTCCAGGTGAGGTTTCTAAACCCTACACCGGTATCCTAAACTGGCGAGAGCGCGCGCGCGTACAATGATGCACACCCTAAGCCCTAAACCCTAAACCCTAAACCCTAAACCCTAAACCCTAAACCCTAAACCCTAAACCCTAAACCCCAAACCCTAAACCTTATAAACCCTAAAGCCAAAATCCCTAAGCCTGAACCCCACTTGTCCCCCCCCAGGGGTCCTGGAGCAAGCCTTTTGGGATATCTGTGACGCCCAGGATGCGGAGCAAGCCTCAGTCTTCCAAGCGGTCCGGCTCGCGCTTCCCCTAAGAGTCCATGTACCTATACAGGGTTGTAGGGTTTAGGGTTTAGGCTCTATAGGGTTTAGGGTTTAGGGTTTAGGGTTTAGGGTTTAGGGTTTGGGGTTTGGGGTTTGGGGTTTGGGGTTTGGGGTTTGGGGTTTGGGGTTTGGGGTTTGGGGTTTGGGGTTTGGGGTTTGGGGTTTAGGGTTGTAGAATATACTTGGGCCTTGAAGGGGTTCCAGGATAAAGGTTTAGGATCCAAGTATATCCCATATAGGTACATTGTAGGTTTTGCGGGCTTTTGTGTGCTGCAGAAGAGGGTGCAAAAGCAAGGAAGCGCACGAACCGAACACACGTGGGAGCTTTGCAGGGAAGCACCACTCTTGCCAGAACGGCCGAACGGACGTGTCTTGAGGGATGTCAGGCAAAGTTCAACAACCCCACACCCCCCTGCCCCCCACGAGACGAGTGGCCCAACGGACGATGCCACCCGCCCTTGTTTACAGCCTGCTGCTCAATTTCTTTTGCCGAAGAGCCCCTCAACCCTAAACCATACACCCTAAACCCTAAACCCTAAACCCTAAGCCCAGAGCCTGGGGAAAACCACCATTGCTAGCGTCCTTTGGACCGCCCGACACTGTGATGCCCTGTGGGATCCTGAGGAGGAAGGGTAAGCGACCAAGGCCCTTGGCCACAACTCTGCGCAACTCCAACGAGTCCACCACCCCCCAAATTAGGGCGATTGGTAGGGGGGTTTAGGGTTTAGGGTTTAGGGTTTAGGGTTTAGAGTTTAGGGTCCCTTAAACGAAAGCATGTGCCTGCTGCAACGGCTGCCAGGCCAAGTTCAACAAGCGCTTGAAATGCTTAAGTTTTAAGGGCTGGAGGGCTTGAGGGTTGAAAAGCTTTGGGCAGGTGGAGCCTTTAAAACCTTACGCCCCACAAAAAAAACGTAAATCCTGAACCGCGAACACGAATCCCATGGAAGCCCTAAAACACAACCCCCTAAACCCTAAACCCTAAACCCTAAACCTTATAAGATGTGGATGGCCACAGAGCCAGGGGGCCCAAATAATTATTTTTTGCGGCCCGGGTTGCGGGCTGGGATTGCGGCTGGTTTTTGGCTTGCAGATTTGTTGTGGGCTGGGTTGCAAATTTGTTGCGAACGGTTTTTTGGATTGCAAATTGGGTTGCAGGATTTTTGCGACTTTGGCTGCAGATTTTTTGCGAAATTGGTTGCGATGTTTTTGCGATTTTGTTGCAATGTTTCTTGCAAACGGTGGTTTTTGCTTATTAATTTAATAGAAAGCCCATTGACAAAACCCGAATGGTGTCTTTTCTGCCTGGCCGGGCCGTCTGCAAAAAATCTGCAAGCCGGCTTGCAAAAAATCTGCAACCAAAGCTGCAATGCTCCAGGGGCCCCGGGGCCCCGTCTGCAAAATCACGAAACCCCACGTCTGCAAAAAAATTGCAATGAATCTGCAAAAATAATTATTTAAAGAGGCCTTTGTGCTGTGGCCAGATGCGATTCTTATAACCTAAACCCTAAACCCTAAACCCTAAACCCTAAACCCTAAACCCTAAACCCGAAGGAGGAAGCTCCTGAAGTTGGCACAGGCAAAGTGGCAGCCGTAGAAGTCTTCCAGCTTCATGCCGTCATGGCCCAGCTTCTGTTGCTCTTTGTGGAGCTCCTGTAAATAGGGTTTAGGGTTTAAGGTTTAGGGTTTAGGGTGAACCCTGTACCCGAAACCCTCCTGAACGGTTAGGCTATGCCGGATTTCGGGTTCCAAAGGTCGTGAACTTCAAGGGACCCCAAGGTTGCACACCCGCATGTACAGGTTTTAGGGTTTTAGGGTTTTAGGGTTTTAGGGTTTTAGGGTTTTAGGGTTTTAGGGGTTTAGGGTTTAGGGTTTAGGGTTTAGGGGGTGCCGATGTTCCCTGAAGGGTGTGTTAAACCCAACTATCCCCGAAACCCGAAGCTACAGGCAGGCTGGCTCCAGCCCCAGAGCCACCGATGCTGGTATTAGGCGCTCAGCTAAAAAAGGAAAACAGCTCAGGGGAGCTAATTTAAGGATCAGACCCGAGTTCCCCAGATGGCCAAAGAAAGCAAACGAAGAAGATAGACACACGCATCATAATATCAAACCAACACCTCCCATGATGCAGTTAGCCATCCAGAGAACCCTGAGATTTTTTTTAAATGTTTGCATGCATGCATTGAAACACAGGCGCTCAAGCAGCCTTATAAAAAAAAGGAAAAAAGGTGAGGATGATGGGGGATGTATATGTTCATGTATTTGTAAAAATGAGATTACGTGTTATATAAATAGGAGAATAAGGAGATAAGTAAAAACAAAAAAAAAACAACTCACTCCTCGGACCCCCGGGCATCAGGATCCTCACGATCCTCGCCCTCATCCTCGTTCTCCTCCCTATGGAGAGGGGGCTGGTACACGTAATGATGGCCCGCAAACTGAAGTACACGCTCATTGGGGCGGATGAACATGTACTTGGCTTTGGCTTTCGCCGCAGCCTTTGCACGAGCGGGGACGGCTCTCCGCTCCCGTAGCTGCGAGTTGCGCAGCTGCATCGTAATTCTGTTCCGTGGCATGGGTATGACTGAGTCTGTATTATACCATACGCCCAGAATTTGGGGTTTCTTGGGCTTGTTGATTTACCGTATGTCATGTGAAGGATAATGTTGGACCCTCTTTGGTGTTCCCCCCCCTGCCAGCCCCCTCCCCCACATTAAGAGTTCATTGCGGGGCTTCTAAGGTCCAGGATTGAACAGAGGTTGGCTTCAGGCCATGGGTTTCCACAACTGCTTTTTCCAGCAGCTAAGGCAATGTATAAGAAAACACAAATGAGTCTCCAGCGCAACCCTTGAAAATACTAAGTTCACCTAACTAAGCAAGATATAAAGCAAGTGTCCAAGTCAGGGTTATAAGGTAGGGATCTATAGGCGTTTGCTGGAGAGCTGAT